CTGCTAATAAGTATGGAAAACCAAAGCTTTGGCAACAGCACTCTCTGGTTGGGTAGTGTGCATACATGAGTCACAGCCCAAAGCCTGGGGTTCCCGGGTAGAGAGCTGACCAAGTTTAGCAAGAAGTATACACAGAATGGACTCATCCTCAAAGGTGAGGTGGGCAACTCCTCAAGCTTCTGCAGTACATAGACTAGTCAGCTTCCAGAGTGACTAGAGCAGGGCTGATGTCTCATTGTCCATGGTTTCCTGTTGTCTCCTGGGAAGCAGAGTCCTGTCCAGGAAGGGCACTCTTGTATGGTAAGGCTGGGTCAGGGATGCACTCCCATTCAAGGGAAGCTGGCTTCACTCAACTGTGGTGATTCCAGGGAACAATCTCTGCTACCTTAACTGCTGTAGAGGTGGACAAAACAATAACAAAAAGGCCCCTCCAGTGGGGCTTTAGCGGTTGAACATTCCATTCCTTTGCCCAAACAGCATCTCCTAGTTTATAAGGGTGCATGGGAGTTGTCAGGCTAACAGGGAGTCTCTCCCTTACGCAGTCATTGATTTTTGAGAGAGTCAAATCAAGGGCCTGTATCTGTTGTTTCAGGGTGAGGTCACCTATTTTCTTAAGATCCCCTTGCAGGCTCTTGACTAAAGGGAGTAGATGCCCAAAAAGCATTGTAAAAGGGGAGAGACTCATCTGTTTGGTGGGGCTTCACCTAATCCTGAGCAAGGGTATAGGCAGTAATTGACCCCATAGTGGGTGGGTCTCCTGTCATAGCCTCTTTAATTGTAATTTTTAGAGTCCTGTTTATATGCTTTATTTTTCTTGAACTCTGGGGGTGGTAGGCCGTGTATAGCTTTTAAGTTATTTCTAATCTCTTAACCATTAACCGTACTACTTCAGCCACAAAGGCCAACCCATTGTCTCACCCAGTAGACACAGGTGTTCTGAATCAAGGGATGATTTTCTTTAACAGGCACCTGGCTAAGTTTTTGGCTTTCTCAGTCCAAGTGGGGAAGGCTTTTATCCATCCTGAGAAGGTAGACAAACACCAGCAAATATCGGGGATTATTTTTGGCACACAGACTGTACCTTTCATATACTGTCTTACTTATGCTGAAGAGCTTGGGGACATAAAAATGCTGGGCCAAGGTGGTCTCAAGAGCTGTCTTCCCTGAGTGAGTTCCTTCATGGAACTGTTTGACAAATGTGGGAGCCAGTGACTCAGGTATGGCAATGCAGCCATCATTAAACTTCCACCATCTGTCTGGTAGAAAATTTTCTCCTTCAGTCTCAAACCAAGCCTATTCTTGTGAAATATACCATGGATCCCATTCGGGTAAGGGACACAGGAACAAGGTAGCTGCCAGTGAGCCTAGGTTTGTCTTCCTGCGAGAGATGCTTGCTTGGCTTTCCAATCAGCCTTTCAATTCCCCCAAACAGCTGTTGTCTCCCCCTTCTGGTGCCCTTGGCAGTGCACAACCGCTATTTGCTTAGGGGCCCATACAGCTTATAGTAATTTTAGAACTTTTTTTTCCTATTTAACACTTTTTTCCTGAGTTAGAAGTTCCAACTGGCAATGGTCGTGTTTTAAATGATAGCGTCTAGAGTCACTACTGCATATCCAGCAAAACATGTCTTTTCAGACAAAGCTGTTACCATCCAACATCTGGATGACTAACAGGCTGGTTGGTCAAGCCTGGCTGGCTGGAGAACACCTTATCCATAATCTCTAAACAGTCATGCTCTGGTGTGCCTGAATTAACCTGCAATAGGGTGGCTGAGTTTAGTCTTAGCAACCTCTAGCCTGACATGTGGGTTTTTACGTAACGTGTTTTGATATTTGACCATTTAGGAGTTTGTTAACCAATAATTTTCTTTATATTGCATGAGACTCAAAACAGTGTGGAGAACTCAGACTGTGAGTTTTTGTCTCCAAGTAAGTTTGTCTGCTTCATCCACCAAGACAGCAGTAGCTGCCAGGGCACATGGGCAGGGCAGCCAGCCTCAGGAAACTGCATCAAGTTGCCTATACAAACAGACCACCAGGTGGTTCCAGGAACCTAGCAGCTGGGTCAAGACTCCTACATCTCCCAGTCTCTCATGTACATAGAGAAAGAAGGGCTTTATCATATCTGGCAGGCCCAGAGCAGGGGTGTTTTTGAGTGCCCTCTTAATTTTTTTAAGGCCTTTTTTTTTTGTTTCTCAACCCATTCCATGAGTTCCCACTCTCCCCCATTTATGGCTTCATAAGGGGGTTTTGCCAAGAGAGAGAAATTGGGGATCTGGATCTGGCAGAAACCTGCAGCTCCTAGAAATTCTCTAATCTGTATGGTGACATATAAGGGGGTGGGTACTCCTTGGGGTTCCCCACTAATATGGGCTTCCCTGGCTTTTTGCACTTTTTTCTGTATTTGGAAGCTGCTGCTGCCCTGGCTACCATGACCCTACATGCTTTCTCTAGGTGGGGCTTTAGCCATGTGGGCTGACTGAGGACTGCATCTTGCCAGCAGTCAATATAAGGAACCATCTGGGTATTTCAGGCTCCCCTACAACCACTTTAAAAACTCTATTGTCTTTGACCTTATCTAATGACCCCACCAAGGGCCATCCTATACCAAAACAGGCCAGTTTATTTCACAGAAGGTCCTAAGCTTGTCAGGAGTCAGTTTGACCCTGTAATCTCCATTAAACCCCATCTTAAAGTTCTAGGGGGTGTTCTTACTCTGACCTCCTCCCTTTCCTCACATTTGCCAGACATCTAGACAGAGACAAAGATGGAAGGGATGAAGACTGTGGAGAGGCGGTAAGGGGTCCCCCTTTCCAGCACATAAAGGAAAACAAACGACACCACTTATTTTGTCATTCTCTGGCTGCTCCCCTCAAGGGGATTTAAGCATCTCTTGGCCACAGTGAGTCCATATAAGCCCCAGACTGGAGGCCCTGTTAGGGCTCACCCTAGACCATATGAGTTCACCATGAACCTACTGATCAGGACTCCACACTTGCTTCATAACCAGGCTAGGTCTCAGGCTCACAATTTCACACACTCTCACACAGCACAGTACTTCCACCTGTTCCCTGAACCTGAGAGACACAGTTTCACCCCAAAAAAAGGGCATTACTCAGGTGCTTTTGAGAGCTGATCAGACTCCCCTTCTGCCTCCTGAGGTAGGCCTGAATTTGAACCTGGGTTCTTACCAGTCTGATAAGTGGGGCTCCCAAGTTGGTTCCCAAGCCTTTCCAGGTTCCTTTGTGCAACCAGAACTTGTCCCCTTAGCTCACCAGGAGAGAGGCTCCCTCACCCAGATCAACACAGTCCCATGGCCTGGCAGGGGAAGCTGTCCCAGTAGGCTGGCAACGCTGAGCCAGCAACAAGGAGGTGAAACCACCACCCTTCAAATCCTGGGCAGACCACTAGAAATGTTGCAGGAGGATTCAGACAGAGACTGAGAAGGCACCAAAGCTTTCAAGAAGCAAATTTATTAAGCAAGCCAGCAGCAACTCAGCACTCATGTTCAAAGGCTGAGCACTGAGAACAAAGGAGGCTTTCCTTATATACCATTTAGAGCAGGTTACAGAAATGGGGTGGTCCCATACGTAATCACATGTTATTTCCTGGGCTGTTTTAACCTCTGGAGTGAGGTGATCCTCTTTTGGTCTCCAGGTAACATTCCCCAACTCCAGTTTTCCTTTGTTTTATGGTAGCACTCATTAATCCCTCTTCCCCTCCCTGCCTATGTTCCACACACATACTGGTTACCCAGATATCATTATTTGTGGTTCTGACACATTTTTGTATACATAGTTTCTTTCAATTGAAGTTTACCAAAAAAAAGTCTAATCCTGCCTTCTTAATCACTTCATCTATTACCATTTCCTCTATGCTTCTGTTGCCTTCTGAGTCTGAGCAAAAACTGTGACCGCCCAAGTCCTAAATGGCTTGACCTCTACCACCTCTCCAGCCACCCTGGCCTTCAATTGTTCCAATATGCCATGTCCCCATTCGGCCACAGGGCCTTTGCATTGCTCATCCCTCTGGTCAATAGCCCTCACATTACTCTATAAGGGATACTACAAGAAAATACCATAGAATAGGTGGTTTATAAAAAGCAAACTTTTGTTTCTTATAATCCTGCAGTCTGGGAAGTCCAACATCTGGGTGTCAGCAGATTTGGGGTCAAGTGAAGGCCTGTTTTCAGTTTCATAGATGGAGCCATCTATTGTCCTTACATGGTGGAAGGCCTGGATGGCTCTCTTCAGTCTCTTTGTATAAGGACACTAATCCCATGAGGGCTTGACCTTATGAACTAAACACTTCCCAAAGGCCCCATATCTTAATACCATTGCCTTAGGGTCAGGATTCAGAGATGAACTTGAACACTGAAGCCTACTTAGCAACAGGGTAAATCTCTTGCCTTTTCCACTAGCCCATCTGATTTAGGTCTGACTAGGTTTTCCTCCTCAGCACCATGCCTAGCACATAGTAGGTGTCTAAAGCTATCTGTTGAATGGATAAATGAATATAGAATAACCAAGCTTATGAATTGCTTCATTATAATTAGAATACACTGTATAAAGCTGGGATGCCAAACTAAGCAATTTAGATTTTTTTAAACAGGCAATAGGGAGCCATTGAAGGTTTGTGAGAAAAGGAGATGCCTGAACTGACCTTTGTTTCAACAAGATTTCTTATGGAAGTAGGTTGAAAAGGCCATGAAAGAGGCTGTGGCAGAGTCGGATGAAAGATAGCAGTGGGAGGTAACCAACGCCTCACCTCCACTCTGACCGCAGAGGCCAGCAGCCAAGCCCAACAGTGACCTCACAATCACTTCCCAGATTTTCTGTCTCCTAAGGTCAACATCCCAGTTGCTTGTGCAACTCCACCTTTCAGGGTCACATCTAGAGGTCACGTCCTACCTTCTGAGTCACTCACATCAACAAGTTGAGACTCAGGAATCAAGAGCATAGGAGAACGCTGGCTTCACTCCACGGCAGTCAAGACTTAGGCATGGCAGACAACCCAGTGGACTTAAAAAGTCTTATGCCCACAGAGAGGAAGTCCATGTGGAGGACAGCTGAGGAGAGGCGGATGTCTGACCTCACCCGGGTGCTGGAGTGGATGGAGCGGAGGTGGGGGAAGAAGAAGCGAGCTCTTCAGGTGTGCGTGGTAGAACAGTTATTCAAGGCCATTGTAATAGGGGAGTAAGAGGATGTTCTTGATGCCCCAAATAAGAGGCAGGGGGTGAACTAGTGGAAAAGTACCAGAGGATATGAGGGAGGAGGTTGGTTAATAGGGTTAGACCATCTGTTTGCTGATTAGTACTTCTCAAAACCGGGCTTCTCCCTACCCTCCAAGAATGAGAGGGGTACAATCTTTCTTGATGGTTAGATTTCAAGGGGATACCTGCAGGTTCTTCAGAAAGGCAAGATTGTATTGAAAAGGTGGCAAGAGGCTGGGAGATTTACATCTCAAGGGGGCAGAGAAAAAAATTTCCAAATACAAGTTTTTAAAAAACTAGATGCTCTAAGAAAAGAGTGTAGAACTCCTGCCAGCCCACCTCCACCATTCTGCCTGCCTCAGAGGCAGTGCTAACCGGTCCTTCCCTCTTTCTCCAGAAACTACAGCAACCAAATTTGCCTTAGTTTTCCCAGAGGTCCTCCATCCCAGACCCATCATCTATGAAGAAGAAAGCCGTGCCCTTGGAGAGTGGCATCTTCTGTGGGGGATGCCACTAATCCACCTCCCCCAGTCTCCAGGAAAAATGGGTGGAAACAGTGCCACTAACGTAACAGCAATGCCCGTCCTCTAGCAAACCTTTCACCTTTTCTGTATTTAGCCTTGTACATCTGGTCTCTCATCATCCTCTCCCAGCCAGCATCATGGGGGCACCATGATTGCCCCCACTCGAAGAATGGGAAAGTGAGATGAGGAAAAGTTCCTTAGGCCACAGGCTTAATACAGGGCAGAGTCGGGTTCAAACGCAGATTTATCCAACTCCAAGTTTCTGAGCTTTGTTTGGCCAATCCCCCACACCAGCTTCCATTCCCCTGTACCCAGTCCAGTGCCCTGGCTTTTCAGGAAAGCTCCTGGATCTACTCCTGACTTAATTCTCTGTAGTCAGAAAGATCTGACTGCCAGATCCACCAGACAGGCTAACAGGCACCTGCTAACAGAGGTGCCAATGACTTACTGACAGCACCCCCCACTGCCCCATCCCCATTTGGGGCATAAAACAGGGGCCTGACAGCTCTTTCTCTCAGAATTCAATTTAATATCAACAACAGAAATAATACTTTCATGGCTAGCAGGTTCCCATCTCCTTCCACTAGGACTATATTTATATAATGTTTGAATAGATTTACCTTATTTGTGGCTTTCATTGTAAATAATTTTGGATCCAGGGAGGAAACTAATTTACATTGAAAATACTGCTAAATCTTCACACATCATTACTCCTCCCCAAACCATCTGGATTTCTAATGAAGCTCCTAAAAAAAGAGGGTGACAAGTGTTATATGGTAGGAGTTAGACAGCACCAGGTGGCAGGGGACCCTTTAGTGATGACCAGGGCAGGGAGGCTTGTCTCACATTAGGACCTCTTTGGCCTCTTCTCCTTTCTCCTGGGGTCAGGCCTGACAAGTTGGGCTTCCCACACTACATACTGCTGATGGTGCTGCCCCAGGGGATCACTCTGGAATCAGAGAAGACCCCAAGATCAGAGTATTGGCCTCAGTGGCAGTGGCCACTAAGTGGCTTCTGCTCTGAGGTTTCACTGCATCAACTCCACCAACTTTCCCAAAAATGGGGGGGAGCACTACTCCAACAACTTCTTTGGAGATACAGAGGCCACCTGGATGAGATGGTCTTATCCTCTCCCCTCCCCCACTGAAAAATGCAGCCCGGGCCCCAAAGGGCACTCCTTTCCCCACTCAACCAAGAAAAACCCCAAAGCTGAACAGCAGCATCCATCCTTCAGCACACCCTTGGACAGCTTCCTCTTACCCACCTGCTGGCTAATGGGAACTTTCCTTCCACATGCATGATGCCCTGCCTCAATTGTTACCCCATCCTTAAGAAAGCAATAATTTGCCACTGAGCAAGACACAGACCAGGCTCTCGCCAGGTGGTCTGACCTGGCGCCTACAGCCTGAGTCACTGTCCCTGTAGCCACAAAGGACATAGCTCCAGGGGACAGCTAGTCAATTTCCCACGATACTTAAGCATACTTTCTGCCCCTTATAGATTGGGAGGGGCACTTCCTGGGTGGCCCCCTTTAATGTGCTCTGCTGGGCTCTTCACCCACGGGTCCCTGCAGATCCCTAGTGAACCTTCCTCCTTGTCCTGAATGTGGAAGCTGTAAGGCAAGGCACAAGTCACACACAAGGAACCTGAAACAGAGAGGTTGCCTAGCTCCTTGGCAGATCACAACACATGAAAAAAGAAAAGGGCAAAATTTGTTGTGATGGCCACTCTGGGAAGGCAGATGCCTGGGGTCGGGGTGAGGGGCTGAGGAGAGGAGGGGTCTCTGGGACAGAGAGAGAGTCAGGGTGGCCAAGGCCCAGAGGTCTGAATGGGCAGGAGTTCCTCAAAGACAGGACAGCCTTCCTGTGCTTCAGATGGAGGCAGGCAGTGAGTCACAGACAGGAGGCCACTTAAGCAGCTGGGACTCCTGCTAGGGACTGGGTAGCAGGTTTTCCATAGAGGAGGAGAGGAACAAGACCAGGCCTGAGGCCTAAAAGGTAGTCCTGTGGCAGTGACATGGACATCAAGGTGTGTTCAGACGGCCAAGGAGCAATGAAAGAAAAAAGAGCTCTGGAGTGTGGGTACACGGGAGGTGGCACCCCACACACAGAAGCCTCCTCCTGTATAGGACAGAGGCGAGAATCGGGGCAGGGCAGATGCAGCACCCTTTCTCCTGCCTTTTCAAAAGCAAAAAGCCAAGGAAGAGGCACTTGCTAAAGCAAACAAGAAGGAAGAAAAGAAAGGCAAAAGCTCCCAGAAGGTGAAGCACCAGGGAGAGGGTCACAAGGTGTCATTCCAGAACCAGGTAATGTGCCCTCTACTGTCTCAGCCCCAATTCGCTCTCCAGCTCCACCCTGCCTCTCCTGCACAGGATCTGACCACACTTCTTATTGAAGGTTGTGAAACACACTCCTGCCCCATGCCGGCACTCAAATAAATCACCCACACCCACTCTATATCCCTCCAGTGTCACCGATGGTCACTTCATGACAAATGCCACATCATCCTCCACCCATCATTCTCCCCTACATTGCTCAGGAATGCCATCTGAAAGATGAGAGCCCCAGGCCAAAGAGAGACACAGGAGCCACCCAGTCATTTGGCCAAAGGGGCAGTCCCACACCCCACTGCCCACAAGGACCGCGTGTCTCCAAGGTCCATGTGACCTCCTCCTGAGACAGGGAGAAATAAAAGTGGAGTATTAGTGGCAAGCACCAAGAACACTTCCTCTATCCCCACCCTCCTCCGTCACCTTTGGCCATCTTTCAGAAAAGCCTTGAAATCACTGTTTGGGATGGGGCAGCCAGACTCTATAACTTGGTGCAACTTCTGCTCCCTCCAAGAACTCAGGACAAGGCTCCAGTGGGAGTAAGGAGACCAGCAAGTATAACCGGATGTATAACTTTGAGCATCTGGGCAAGCATCTGAGCATAAGTGGCAGCTTCACCAGGGACAGCCACAGGAAGTCAGGTAAGGGAAGGGTCTCGGCCTTGGAATCCTAGGACATCATCCCTAAGACCCTCCTCTCAGAGGAGCCAGAAGCTCACTCCATTCTTAGAGAAGAGGCACCCATATTAGTCAGGTGCCCCCCTAAAAGCCAGGAACCCACTCAGAGGGTCTTCAGGGATCACACCAAAGGTGACATTTGGCAGCTCTCAGGAAGCCAGCATGGTGTGTCCCAGGTTCCTGAACCATTTTGATGACATGGCCCTCACAAATTTAGATATTGTGACAATGTTAATCACAGACGGTGCCATGCCTGCTGGCTTAAAACCTGCCAGATGTTGTTCACACCTAGGAAGAGATAGACAGATTACACCAGAAGCCCAGTTCCAACATTTCAATCCTGGCTCCACTACTCTCTGCGAAACTCAGAGTTGGAGAATCCTGGGCAAGCCCTCCATCTCTAGGGTTCAGTCTTCTCATGTATAAAATGGACAATAACATTATTCTCCTTGTAGGATGGTTTAGCAAGACGATGTATGTGAATCACCTAGCCTGACATAAAAGGAGTGCCCAACAAACAGTATAATCACTGTCTCTAAGTAAAAACCTTGTGAAAGTTTCGGGAGGGCTGACCATGGGGTTGGAAAAACAGGTACATTCATTGTGCCTGGCCTCTTGGGACCAAAATATGAGATAAAAGTAGAGTCTGGAAGGGATTCCAACCAGCTCATGGGAAGCATGGAAAGGAACCTGTAGACAGGAGCTGCTGGTTCTCCTACACACTTGTCCCAACAAAAAATCTTTCCTTCCTCTTTTCATTTAATACACCAAAGTTATTGTGACCAAAGTATCATCATTCATCTACCAGATTTCAATGTGATTGACCTTCAATTCAGGGAAAGGTCCTGGATGGAATCCCAGAACAGTGCTTTAGTGGAAAAACTCATTGAATCTGGAAAAGCTCCTCAAGGTGCCAATGTAAATTTCTTGCTCTTGATACATGTCCGATGGTTCTATAAAATGTTACCATTCATAAAAATACAGTAAAGGGAGCACAGAAACCCTCTTGATCTTCTTTGCAACCATTCTGTACATCTATAACTACTCCAAAATAAAAAGGTTATTTAAAAAATACCACACTGGTTGGCATTATGCCCTAGGCAAAGCATCACACTTTAGCCAAGTTTCCTGGGACTCCTAGTATCTTTCTAATTCCAAAGTCATGAGCCTGTTGGGTTCATCTTCTCTCTGCTCTCTATCAACCAGGATGCAGAACAACCCCATTTCCTTAATTTCTCCCCAAACCTCTCCCATAAGCAGGTTTTACTGAAGGTTTGGGGACAGCAGAGGGAATGAATACCCCACAGACTTATATAACCACCAAATTAAGAGGTTGACAATGAGACCCCTTTACTTATCAGTCCCTTGTCTTCTGTCCCCAGAATGTTTTTCCTGCCTACATTTCCCTGTAGGGAAAGCTCCTATTTTGAAACTTCATGACTTGACTAGAGTGAGACAAGTCAGGCACCCAGGCACAAAATTTAAGATAGCACTTGGGTACCAACACTGTACTTGCATGAACCAGAGCGGGAGAGCCTGCTTAAATTTCCCCCAGGGCACTTCACGTGCCTCAAACCTAGTCCCAATCCTGTGCAGCTCCTCTTCTTCCTCACTCATTCCTGTCCCCTTTCTTCCCTCCTCTGCATTTCTCATCCCACACATTCCCACTCCCATTCCCAAAGTAGCCTATTGAGATATTTTCCAAAACAAAATCAGTTCTTCCCTAAAAGGATGATGAAGTGATCATTGTCATTTCACTGCCCGAGGATGCAGCAGGGCAGGCTGACTTGCCAGCTATTTGGTCCTCTGCAGTCCCCTTTTTCTCCCCTCATCATCCAAGACAAATCACCCTATAGGAGAAGTCTTTCCTACCCTAATGTAATACAACTAGTGGCCACTGGAAGGCAGTAAATGGATTGGTCCAAGAGCTGTGGTTGGTGTTTAGAGGCATCTAAGGACCACCTGGAGATCCATATGTGGCCTCCAGGACTGAACCTGGGCACTGCTAGGGGGGCTTCCTGTGCAGGCTGGCATGAGATCTAAAGTAAGTGGGTGTGATCTGGATCTGGTGACAAGTTCAAGACAAAGCAGCCCCTAGGAAGGGCATGGAGCCAGTTGCATGTTAGCTTGGATTGCCACAGACCGGCAAACTCAGCATGCCTCCCTTAGAGAAGGGCTCTGACCTGATACAGTAACCCAAGTTGAAAGTCAGAGACTCGTCTACCTCTTCCTCCTTTCTCGACCTTCATGACCAGTTGCCATGATCAGGTACCAGGTCCTTTAACTTCTACCATCTTAATATCTTAAATCATGAAGATCTGACCAGGTCCTATACCTTCTATCATGTCCTCCGTATCTTCATCTATTTCTCTCCTTTTTCACTACAATTATCTTAGTGTAATCTTGATGATCTTTCATTATCAGAACCTCTTACAGCTTTCAGCCTGTATGGCTGTCATTTGCCTTTCTAACTTATTTGTGTCTTTATATTTAAAGTGATTGTCTTCATAACCCCACCAAATAAAACTAATAGAGAATAAAATTCATGCCTGTAATCCCAGATACTCTGAAGGTGGAGAGTAGGTGGATCATGATTTGAAGCTAGCCCAAGCAAAAAGTTAGTGAGACGCATCTCAACAGACAAAGCTGGGCATGACGGTGTGCACTGACATCCCAGCTATGCAGAAGTATAAGTAGGAAGATTGCAGTTCAGGCCAGCCTGGAGAAAAATTCAAGACCCTATCTCAAAAATAACCACAGAAAAAAGGACTGGGGGTGTAATGTAAGTGGTAGAGCACCTACTTAGCTAGTGTGAGGCCCTGAGTTCAAACCCTAGTACTTACTACTAGGAAAAAAAAACACGAAATGAAGATGTGCAAGCTGATCGAAAATAATTCAGAATAATTCTCTTTTTTACTTGTTTCTTTTATTATGATACTGTTGTTGTACTGGTGGTACATAGTGACATTTACAAAAGTTCTTACAACCTATCATAGTTACATTTACCCCCTCTTTAAAAAGTTCAATAACTAAAAGGAAACACAACTAAATGAAGTTAGGGAAACCATATTTGAACAAAATAAGTGCAACAAAGAAATAGAAGCAATTTATTTTTATTTTTATTTTTATTTTATTCATATGTGCATACAATGTTTGGGTCATTTTTCCCCTCTTCCCTCACCCCTTCCCTTTCCCCTCCCCCCCTCCCCCTCGCTCCGTCTCTTACCCCCCCTTACCCCTTGCTACCTGGCAAAAACTATTTTGCCCTTATCTCTAATTTTGTTGAAAAGAGAGTATAAGCAATAGTAGGAAGGACCAAGGGTTTTTACTAGTTGAGATAAGGATAGCTATACAGAGAGTTGGCTCGTATTGATTTCCTGTACATGTGTGTTATCTTCTAAGTTAATTCTTCTCGAACTAACCTTTTCTCTAGTTCTTGGTCCCCTTCTCCTATTGGCCTCAGTTGCTTTTAAGGTGTCTGCTTTAGTTTCTCTGCGTTAAGGGCAACAAATGCTAGCTAGTTTTTTAGGTGTCTTACCTATCCTCACCCCTTCCTTGTGTGCTCTCGCTTTTATCATGTGCTCATAGTCCAATCCCCTTGTTGTGTTTGCCCTTGATCTAATGTCCACATATGAGGGAGAACATACGATTTTTGGTCTTTTGGGCCAGGCTAACCTCACTCAGAATGATGTTCTCCAATTCCGTCCATTTACCAGCAAATGATAACATTTCATTCTTCTTCATGGCTGCATAAAATTCCATTGTGTATAGATACCACATTTTCTTAATCCATTCGTCAGTGGTGGGGCATCTTGGCTGTTTCCATAACTTGGCTATTGTGAATAGTGCCGCAATAAACATGGGTGTGCAGGTGCCTCTGGAGTAACCTGTGTCACAGTCTTTTGGGTATATCCCCAAGAGTGGTATTGCTGGATCATATGGTAGATCAATGTTCAGATTTTTAAGTGGCCTCCAAATTTTTTTCCAGAGTGGTTGTACTAGTTTACATTCCCACCAACAGTGTAAGAGGGTTCCTTTTTCCCCGCATCCTCGCCAACACCTGTTGTTGGTGGTGTTGCTGATGATGGCTATTCTAACGGGTGAGGTGGAATCTTAGTGTGGTTCTAATTTGCATTTCCTTTATTGCTAGAGATGGTGAGCACTTTTTCATGCGTTTTTTGGCCATTTGAGTTTCTTCTTTTGAGAAAGTAGAAGCAATTTTTTTAAATAGGGCCAGGAGGGGTGGCACACTTCTGTAATCCCAGCTACTCAGGAGATGAAGATAGGAGGATTGCCATTTGAGGCCAGCATGAGCACAAAATAAGCAAGATGCTATCTTAAGAACAAGCTGTGCATGATGGTGCATGCTTATAATTCCAGCCATTTGGGAGGCAAAGGTAGGAAGATTAAGGTCAGAGGTCAGCCCAAGCAAAGTTAGTGAAAAACCCTATCTGAAAAACTAAAAGCAAAAGGACTGGAGGCATGGCTCAAGAGCACTACCTACAAGTGTGAGACTCTGAGTTCAATCCTCTGAAGGAGAAAAGAAAGGCAAATATCCAAGAGATGAAGAATCCAGTGTCTGAATGTCTGAAGTGAAAAATGCAACAGAGCATATGAACAGCCACATTTGAAATTATCCAGTCAGAAAAGCAAAAGAAAAAAGAGTGAAGAAATCAATGGAACACCATCAAGAGAAATCAAACATGCATTATGGATTTCCAAGAAAGAAAAAGAGAAAGAAAGGAACTAGGAGATTATTTAAAGAAATAATAGCAGAAAGTGTCACAAATTTGGAGAGAGATATGAGTGCCCATATTCATGAGGCTCAAAGGTTTCCAAACAGGTTGAACAAAAACATCTACACTATGAGTCTAAGCAAAGAGAGTTTTGAAAGCAACAAGAAAGTAATTTTTCATATACAAGGGAGCCTTCATGGCATTATCAGTGACTTTCTAAGCAGAAAC